GAGAACGAAACGGAAAGAATGGTGAAAAAAGACCGTTCAAAAAGGTCGCACTGTTCACGACGGCCATTACCTTGCGCGCAAAGAACTAATGCAAGACTCCGGTTTGCGCATGTTAGAGCAACATCTAACGGTAAGAAACATTCCTGTGCCAGCTAATTTTTACCATATCAACGCGAGAGCACGCATCTTACAAACCTTTTTTATCTTAAAGGACTCGTCCAAAAAGACGAAGTTTCTATGAAGATGCTCAGTTTAAGCCATTTCGTCATATCGATTGGCTTGAACTGAGCAAGAAATTTTATTTTTTTTTAAAGAAACCATTGGCGATTTGGTTTAAGCCATTTCGTCATATGGTTTGGCTTGGACCAGGGCATGTCTTTGGTTCAAGCCATTTCGTCATATGGTTTGGCTTGGACCAGGGGAATCTTTGGTTCAAGCCATTTCGTCATATGGTTTGGCTTGGACCAAGGTTATTCTTTGGTTCAAGCCATTTCGTCATATAGCTTGGCTTAGACCGGAGCATATCTCTGGTTTAAGCCATTTCGTCATATTGTTTGGCTTTGCGGATAAAAATTTTAATTAAGTGAATGTATCTAGTGAACATGTATAAGGAATTGTAGAGAGTTTTTTTTATCACTTGTATTCTTTGGAGAAGTTTTTAATACCCAATAAAACGATATTATTAAAAAGCAAATAATTTTTCATCGCCTTGACAACGACGTACAAATTGCAAATTTTACTATCAAGAGGGAAATTGATTCCGTGTCGGCAAAATACGTTTATTACTTAATTGTCTGCAAACACGTCTATTTTAGTATAAACATCTTATATTAAGATTCATTTGTCAAGAACGTGCCGTGAACAACAATCTACAGTCACAAATCGTCTTTTGATTGTAACTTTGATATCTTTACAACGTTTGTCTTTAATTCTTTCAGGCTAGGACTCAATAATCAATAATCAATTTTCCCGTCTGATCGATAAGCAAATGTACTGTATCACCTCAAAATATCGGGCGGAGCAGATCTCTCGCGACTCCATTGGTCAAATTTGTATGGCAGCCAATAAAACTGTAAATGTGAGATCACGTTCTGCTCCGCTCTAAATATAGCTCACCCCATGATATTGCATCAATAAAACGTTATTTGGGTAAGTTCTATAAGATTTTAACAATTAATTGGGAACACGGAGAAGCGTAATTGTTAAAAAGCACTACGGTTGCACATTTAATCAATGAAGCGCATCAATAAAACGCTATTTGGGTAAATTCTATAAGAATGAAGGCTTTTTTAACAATTGATGTAGAAACACGAAGAAGCGTAATTGTTAAAAACGCACCCCTAAGAATCCGTAAACAAAACCACAAATCGCAATTGGCAGCTGTAATTGCATCGAGGTATGACACGAAAAACAATCGAAGCTTCTTAAAGAAACAAATATAGTTTAAGCTCTACATACTTATTGTGAGTGCTAATTACTCTGATATTGAATTTAATATTCGTTGGTTTCAGATAAGAGATTACGCGAGACGGGATTGATTGGATTATTTATTATTATCGTTGTTGTTATTTTTGTCATATTATTGCTATTACTGTTATTGTTGTTGTTCTAAAAATATGTCAACAATTACGTAACATGAGAAAGACCAAACGGTATCGTGAGTCAAACAATAAAATCACTCTGGTGAAGCAGGAAGAAAAGCTAATCCTGGTTAATGATCATCACATATTTTTTTAGATATCTTTTATGATAGACAAACTGTAAATGGATTGGTTTTTTTTGTTATGGAACGAAAGAACAGTCTCTGAAACTCCCAGCAATTATACTATACACTCGCAAACGATTTTTATCAGTACGATAAACGCATTTCAAATGGATCACAACAGCATTGTTTAGATCGATTCATATCTCGCAACGCTGCTGAAGTTCAACGCAAGGCGCGTCTAATAAAACGCAAAATTCCAAAAGTGGTTTGGATCTCATAATCAGTAACAATTGTTTCGAATGGATCATCGGAGATTCGTATGTCATGTGGCTTTTGTTTATTATTCAAGTCCCAAAATCCTATTTCGGGACCTTCTATTTTTTATGCAAGCATTGTTTGAGTGTGATGCAATCGCGCGTGTCAGATTGTCTAATATGTCGAACTGCTCATTATTACGTTGATGTAACCATTGTGTGTGCAAACTTAAATTCTGATTGTTTCGGATTTTTAACTCACACCAATCCCAACAAACAGATCAATAAGCAGTGGTAGCTGATGCATTCGCGATGCAAATTAAATAATCACCGATTGTTTATGTTTCATCCATTACAAAATAAAATCGATATATTATCTAATATGAGAAGTCAGTTATCTCCATGAAAGCATAGCTACGACTAATTCGGACTGCAGAACTATACGCCACCACCCACGCATAGTATCATCCGATGGAAACGGAGGCTGTAAGCAGTGCTTGCCAGATTTCTTGAGCAATAACGCATCAATTTTATTAAACATTGCTTTCACTACTTGGTCGTGCCTGTACAATGGACCATGCATGCTGAACTTCGGAATCAGAGGAAACGTGAATCTATAATTGATGGTTGGTTATACACAATTTTTAGATATTTGTATACATTCGTACTAAATTGGCAACAGCTAAGAGTTTTAATAACGAACCAATGTAAGCAGAAACCCGTGAGGCGAAGATGGCAATGTGCGAACTTCATATACAATGATTCCGTGTTGATTTCTGGACCAGAAGACGAATTTCCCTTTCATCGAATCAATCAGTGCAGTTACTTCCACAGACCTATTGCAGGTTAATGTCTGTCATGAAAGGAGGGGGAACGCATAACAAGCGGACGCGTTGGAGAGACAAATAAAATTTGACATTATTATTATGTATAAGAGTATGAAAATTACGTAAACCATAACAATTATTATTTACCATCTACAATGAAATCAGTTCCGTGTGACTGCCCTCATAGAGGGATTATGACCCAGGCGGTAGCTGCGATCATGAATTTTCAAGCATACGGTGGAGTGTTACAGCCAGCAACAGGAAGGCGATTGGAGAACAGGGAAGACAAAGTGGAGTGATCGCATATTGACAGACTTTCCGCATAACATTCCCTGACTGCTATTACAAGTATTCAATACCGACAGAATGGATATTTGGCATGTAATCCGTATTAATACAATGATAGTAGTTGGAGCCATAATCAAGTTCAATCTTCGGACAGAGTCGACGCGACACAGAGTTCTCTATAAAGAGGAGACGAAAAAAGATATATCATTTCCATGAATATTTTGATTTTCACAAACCATCAGCTAACTGACGGATTCCTACCGAGACTTGACCCAATACCGAGATCGGTCCGATTATAGCAAAGCCCTTTCTTTATATCCAGCATGCCGATGCCACTAGCTTTTTCGGCAGTTGTAGTTCCTAATTAACGGAACACAGCCTTCAGCGATCACGTCGACCACAATTTGTATTGTTACTAATTGGCACACAACCATCTCCGCTTGACTATTCACCGCACAAACACAAACTCGGCACCCTTTTCGTCAGTCATCGTATTTGGGAGCAAATAGTCGATTGAACGCCCTGCGAATGATTACTGTATTGGAGCGATTGAATTTTTGGGCTTTATCCGCAACCGGTCTTGCTAAAATACCACATTGATTAGTAAACGAATATCATGTTCGGCACTCGGCGTTATTATCTACTTACTTGAAATCCTAAGAATCAGATACAGTTGTCTACATCGCGGCCTAACAGAACAAGATCTTTTACAGTTCGTGTTCGAATTGTGCAAACTTGGTTTCTATAATCGACATATCACACGAACAGATTAGAATTTTTTCCACCATCTTTCTATTAATTCCAAATTTCTCCTACCATTATTATATTCGCTCACAATGACAATTGTTTCGTTCTTTAAATGATCTTTGCGCCGGATCCTATACTACTCCAAGTGAGTAAATGTCACCATTTCGTCAAGTGGCAGTGATGAATTTTTAAATCTTTCCGGGGCCGTATACGCTGCGAAGCCACATACTGGAAGGAGCCACGACCTTGTCGGTTTGTGAGAGACAAAAATCGATCCTCCATTTTCATCTATTACAATATTGCCCTGAAATCCGACGTTTAGTAAGTAACGACATTGAAACAATAAGGACTGGACTCTGTATATTGCATTTTACTCACACTGTGAAAGTCGAAAATCGATAATGATGTATTATAGTAGCAGCGTAAGTAATCATCCAGTACACGACGAAACTTCAGAAATTAGATGTATCTGTTCTCTCTCCGTGAATGAAAGATATCGAATGGTAATCTGTTTGGCTAACTGAAACTATCTGATACCAAGTTAGTTTGCTCGTATGCGACTTCCTGCATATTTTACAAGTTATTTATTGATAAATTGTAAATTAATAAGCAGGGACTCATTATACATCTCTCTACGTCTCAAGAAATTGTTAACATCTAATCAAAAGATACAAACCGCTCAATAGCTAGCCTCAACCATTGACTCTTCGCATCATCACCACCAGCATATTCAGTTCTTCTAGTTTGGCCAACTCTTTTTCCACATCAGACTTTGAATGTTTTCTTCCTCAATCGTAAGTGACCTTTGCAATTT